GGGCGGGCGGAGGGTCCCATGCTCCACTTTCACGCTTCCATCCCTGGATAATCGCTCAAGTAGAAGCCTTCCGGAATATCCTGTGTCTCATAAGCGTCCACCTCTTCCAAACTGACCCTTCACCTTCCCTAGCCGTGATTGGCAGTTTGTTACCGAGATGATGGACCTGTAGCTGTGGCTGCTACCGCCCCTAGTCTCCACAGTCCTCTCTCTGACTCTTCTTCTCCGTAGTTGAAGGAGTATGAGATGCACAACAGGCAGTCCGGCAGTACTGACAATGCAGAGGGGACTGACGGCTCCAGTCCCACTGTAATCGAGTCCTCAAACTGTAATGTAAGTACCGCTGCTCACCACCCCTCCCCCCTGACCTCCCCCCACCCCTCCCGGAAATGGGAGAACCTCAAGGTCACCCTTTGGTCCCCGCTCACCCGCGTTCCACCGTCCCAACCCCAGTCTGCGCGGCACCGATCCTTGGGTGAGGGCTTGGGTTCGAGGACGCGGCGGTCAGCTGGTGTTGGTGTCCAAACATGATGACGAGTGGAAAAACACAAGACAAGGGGAACCGCTGAGTGCTCACCAAGTGAAAAGACCACGATCTTATGACTTTTTCCAAACCCACGCTCTGTCACACGACCGTGATGCGTCTGGTTTTGCAGTTGCATCACAGGTGCAGCCCACACACAAACCCAAGCAACCCTCTGATGGTTGGTGTCAAAGGGTTTTTTTTTTAAACAACTTTGCTTAAGTTCACATAACCTTGTCCCCTCCCTGAGCCAGCCGGAGGAAGATCAGGGCTCCGCGGTCACAACGCCGCCTCGTCTGTAAGATAATAACGCCGCTTTCTGAATGTTCTGGAGTGGCTAGAACGTGGAATCTGAGGAGGATTTGAGATGGGCTGTTTTTCCGTGAGACCGTTATGCGTGTGTGATGATGTCATGTCTGTGAGGCCGGGTCCGGGGGCTCGCGAGAGGCAGGACTCGCTGCCAGGATGATTTCACATTTTACTGCCTCTTGTGAAATATAAATTTGGTGGGTGTGTGCTTCCGTGTGCGCTGTTTCAGCGTGATTTGGGGCTTAGACGTCTGTAACGTGCCATCATTCATCCCCTAATGCTCACTAATAACACTGTAACATGGCATGTTTACAGTCACTAATCAACTGACCTTTATTTATTTATTTATTTCTCTTTTTTTTATTTAAATCTGTAGCCCAAGTGGCTCTGTGCGAGTGGCATTCTGGGTAATGTGGTCGAGCCAACAAAACTGTCGCTGCCACACCCTGCGGCCGGAATGGCTGCTTGGGAGGCTCTGCTCGCAGTGTGGTCCCCTGCCCTGGGATCCAAGCCCGGTGGATTGAGGCTGGGGGAGGAAAGGGTCCCTGCTTCGCGATGTTGGGCCTGACCGGGCGGGGGGCGGGGGGCGGGGGGCAAGCACACGCCTTGGGCTGGGACCCCTGGCAAACACAGCTGCTCCCATGAGCGACCTGTTTAATTTTAGTGTTTGGTTCCTCGGTTGCCATGGTGATCTTACTGGCAGTCTGGAGCTTTCCATTTTGTTGCTGGGAGGGGGGGAGGTCTGAGGTGTCCCGCACTGGTGAATGTGCCATTAGTCGGATGGGAAACCGTTGATGTTTACTGACCATCTTCAGTTAACCCGAAGTGCTGGATGACGTTGTTGGCGTAGCTGACTCTGGTTCCGGGTTCCCTCCCACCTCTCAGTCTCAGGAACCGTCCGACGACGAGCTGGAGGACTCTGTGAAGTTCAGGAGGCTGCACAAGCTGGTCAACTCCACCCGCAGGGTGCGGAAGAAGCTCATCAAGGTGGAGGACGGCAGGAAGCCTGAGGGTAAGGACAGGGAACTTGGGAGTTGTTCAGTATGGAGCGGGCGGGCAGCCACTGTTTGGGGATGGAGGGGGGGCTTATTTTCCAGTGAGGTTGAGCACCCCTGGACTGGATTGACTACACAGCTTGCAGTGCACATGTCAGTTATAAAGTATGATCATGACCGTAGCTAAATACAAGATCATCGCAGAGGAGGGATAACTTTGAGCTGCAGCCACTAGCTGGGATCGTTCAAGCTTCACTATCCTCCCTGATCCCACAGATCCGTTTGGGTTCGAGGCGTCCCCGACGTGCGAGGACAAGTCAGCGCTCTACGCCGGCGTGCAGAAGAAGCCACCCCTCGCCCCGGATGAGTCGCGGTCCTCCCTGCTGCAGGAGCAGACGTCTCTGGACGGGGACACGGACAGCCTGACCACGTCGCCGTCTTCCAGCAGCCTGGACACCTGGGGCAGCCACAGGCTGGTGAAAGCCTTCAGCAGATCCGGCGGCGGAGGCCACGGCCTGATCCGGCCGGCCAGGAAGCCGGGCAGCGGCTCCTCGTTCTCGGAGGCCGACGGCAATGGCGAGGAGGACCCCAGGGCGACTCGCTCCATGCCGGACGGGGAAATGCGGAAGGCCCTCCCGGCACTCAGCCACGGGGTGAGTAGCGACGGCGTGTACGGCGTCTGTGTGCCCCGGGCACGGCACCGCTTCCTGGTGTCCCTCGAGGACGTGCAGGGTGGCCGGCGGATGGCGAGACCCAAAAAAACCCTGGACCCCACCTACTCCTACTCCACTAAGCACCTGCTGCACCAGCGGGCCCGTGCCAAGCTGCCGGGGTCCCCACCGTCACGCTGCGACCTGCAGCTCCTGCGCGACAAAGCGCGGGGGGGCGGCTGGGCCTTCCCGCCACGCAGGCTGCGCGGCCGCGCGGCCGTCAGCGAGTTCAACATCACCTATGTGGTGGAGCGCAGCCTGCATGGCCACCTGAGCTGGTCCCAACTAGTGCGGCCCGTCACGGAGCGGACCCTCAGCAAGGCCGAGCGGCAGGATCTGCGGCGCTGCCTGCTGGACGAAGACGCCGGCGAGGCCGACAGGAAGTGGGCCGCCAGCGTCGACCGTTGTACCAAAAGGGTTCTCTTGCGCATTCAGCAAAAGTCTGTGAGTCTGTGGGGACGGTGCAGCAGCGCCTCCTTCTGGCAGAGCTTTTAGGTTTTCTTGCAAGGCTGCAGAATGGTCGTCTTCACGGCAGTGCAGGGGGATACATGCTCAGTGGCATCGTGCGGGCCTGAGATTTGTGCCATTTAGTCCAGTGTTTGGTGATCATGCTTCACTATGCTTTACCATGCTTCACCATGCCTGCGTGAGCCACGTAGCACTGGTAGTCTAGCTTCTCGTATGGAGCATTTTCTGATGCAAGCCTGAGGCAGCCGACTTAGAATGGCATCTGTGAGACGGCGGTTTCCACGTGTCTAAGTTTATCTGTTCGGGCCAAGGGCTGGTTTCTGAACCACTGCTATTTTTTGTTCTTTGTTCTCTGCTTGGTCACAGTAAGTGAAGACCACAGCAAATTAGAAACCGAGCTACTTTAGTTCAGCTACCTGAGTCATCTGTACTCCCTCTGAGCTTCTGCGACACTGCATTGGGCCATAACTTTGTTTGTTTGCTACTGCAAACCCAAGTGCTCTTCCATCCTAAAGGAGGAACCGCAAAGACCGGATGCAGTTTGAGAAGCTTTTCATAAGCAGACCTGTTGGCATGGGTAGTGCCCACTAGGTGATGCTATTCTGCAGCCTTAAAGAAGCTAAAATGCTCTTTTTTGTATTCAGTGGAAGTGGTCACCATCCATTAATTAAATGTATTTTTTTTGTGTTTGAGTTTTTTTTTCTGCCACTGTGAACTGGTTGGCATGGTGATGGTCTCGTTCTGTCGACAAGCTCTGCATGCTCGTCCATCCCATTGAATATCCAACTCCAATCCATCTAAAGACCCCCTCCTCTGGATGAATACCGTTCTCCTCCCTAAATCTCACCCTTTTCGGACCTCACCCCCCCCCACCATCTGCCTGTGATCTGGGACCCACCAAGTTGACAGTTCTATTCGCCAGTGTTGTTTTCAAGAACTCTGACACGAGCCTGGATCTTCTCAAAGAATAATGTGAACCCGGGAACGGCAGTCGGTCCAAGGCAGACGTTGAGCATTCTCATACTTCTGTAGGATCTTCTGGTTGTGGTTCCATCTGAGGTGTTTGGTCCATCACCCCCTCCCAGCACGTCCGGCAATATGGCCCCTGAACCTCTCTGGTTCCATCAGGTTCAGTGGCGATAGCTGAAGACTCCGTTGAGAAACCTCTGAGGCCTTTATTACATTTCTTACCCCTAGTTTAAAGTATTCAGAAATATATTCATTTTGTACAGGACTCTTGAATTTTTACAATTGTCTTGTTTAAGTCTTTAGTGGGAAAAAAAAACCCATTGTATAATCTTGTAAACCTTAAATTACTTGGATATTAAAATGTGCATTATAGTAATAAAGCAGTAGTAAAGTACTAGTAAAAGTAGCTGTGTATGTAGTCTGTTTTGTTATTGCTTAATACAAACAAGGCTTAGTGTAGTTGATATCCTGCATGGTTGAAGAAAAGGCGCCCTCCGGTGGTGGCGATGATGTCCTGCGCCCGTTCTCCCATGATCCAGCTAGCTTCCATCCCAGCGCATGGCTCCTTCGCGGACAGGGTTTTTTTCAGTCTGTCGCTTAACCGCCGCCACCGCTGTTGTCTTTCCGGCAGAGAACGTGCAGCTTCGGCGGATTTGACCTGTCTAATCGTGCGCTCCACGTGGTCGGCACGGCCACGGACCCCGATGTAAGTCGATGCAAAGTGAAGAAGTGCTGTAGACAGATGGTACTAGTGAGGCACGTGTGTGTGTGTGTGTGTGTGTGTGTGTGGATTGGATGTTAGTGGGAGTCAGTTTATCTGTTAATGTGGCATTTTTCAGCTAAATGAGTCGTTTTCAGTTAAATGCCTCTTGGCTTCAACAATGGTCCATTTGGGATTTTGAACCTCGCAGTCACGGCTCTTTGACCGCCGCGCCCCCTGCTGTCTGTACTCAACAGAGCAAGGAGCAGGAGCCCATGTACAAGGACGTGGTGAAGTCCCCCACCACGTCACGCATCTCCAAGAAGGTGAAGTCTGTCAAGGAGACCGTGCGGAAGCGGATTTCGAAGAAGTACAGTGCCTCGGCGTCCGAGCAGGTGTGTGTGTGTGTGTGTGTGTGTGTGTGTGTGTGTGTGTGTGCCTGCATGTTTGCATTCTGTATGTTTATCGGAATTTCGCTGCCAGATCGTGAAGGTAGCGTGCCGAGAAGGTGAG